TAGGTAGAAATAGCCTAAGCTACTCTATCCCTTTGAGATGTAATTTTGTTCTTGTCTCAATAAACATACTTGAACTTGAATTACTAGATAATGCAGCTGCATTACCCAGTAGTCATTTAGTAGACCAACAGTAGACCAACCAGGAGGCCTGGTCAGAGACCGGGCCGCGGGGACCCAGATCCCCGGAATCGCTGCAAGGAAGGTCCGCTCTTGTAGTTTGTCAAGACCTTCCCACAACGCTCTACAATCCTCCTAGTTAACTTCTTATATTTATGTCGCAAATAACAAAAAATCTTCCGGATTGTTTAAGTTCAATAACACGAAGGTCAACTTTCTGGCGGCCCATCACGACATTGGTACTTTGACCATATGGGTACTGTAAGTACCTTCATCTTAGGGGGCTGGACCGCGCCCGGAGGGACCCCGCTGGCTACACCTCTCTACCTGACCCGTCTCTGACCCACTGTTGTCGGGTCAGGAGCTCCCCCTACTTCTGTCTCTTTCCTGTTATTCAAGCTTGCCTCTGTCAGGGACGGTGTGGTGGTGGTGGTAGTGGTAGTGGTGGTGGTAGTGGTGGTGGTAGTGGTAGTGGTAGTGGTGGTGGTAGTGGTAGTGGTGGCGGTGGCGGTAGTGGTGGCGGTGGCGGTAGTGGTAGTGGTGGTGATGGTGGTAGTGGTGGTGATGGTGGTAGTGGTGGTGATGGTGGTAGTGGTGGTGATGGTGGTAGTGGTGGTGATGGTGGTAGTGGTGGTGATGGTGGTAGTGGTGGTGATGGTGGTAGTGGTGGTGATGGTGGTAGTGGTGGTGGTAGTGGTGGTGATGGTGGTAGTGGTGGTGATGGTGGTCGAGGAGAGCGCGGTATGAGGGGTGGCAGAGGGCTGGAGGGAAGAACAGATGGACAGGATAGGCAGCCTACTCCTGGTGTGGGACAGTTTGGGATGACCCTCTGCGGAGCGGGGACTCCCATGGGGTCTCCGGACTGATACTTAGGCATGGGGGGGGGGGAGAGGGGTGAGGTGCGTGAGGGCGGGGTGAGGTACCTGAGATGAAACACACACAAGCACCAAAATTACCGCTGGTCATTTACAGCACATATATCCTCTGGCCATCTCCAGCCTCTCCCCCATATTGACAAACTTCTGAGCGTTAAACACCATCAAACGACACCCTAAACGTTGTCTCGCTAATATAAACGTTACATAAACAACAAAGACGTAACTCATAGTTCTATGTTTTATGTTGACCTTCATGTACTATGAAACGGGGTGAATGCGGCCCTCCACCGGCTCTCAGACATTGCTGATGGCCCGGCAGAGGACCAAGTTTGTGCCGGTCAAATACCTAGCATAACACTATAATGGCAGGACATGGCGCTCACGGGCGGCCCTATGGATAAGGGCGGCCCATGACAGCGGGCGTGCCGGGTAGCATCACGTGACCTTTGTTGTACACGGGCGTACCCTTCGCTCGGGGGGCGTGGGCGGTGCTCTGTGGTGGTGGGTGGCGGCTGAATGGGGCGTCTTACAGCACAAGAAGGGGTGTGTGATGGAGGGATGATGCTAGGACCCGATTGTATGTGCATATTTGTGTACACCACACAAATTAAAAATATAAAGTAAAATGAAGTATACAAATGTACTAATATTTAGGACGCCTTCGACTTTATTACAACAAAAAACACTGAAAAATAACCGAAGTGTACACACACACACCTACACACACACACACCTGCACCTACACACACACACACACACATGGACAAATGGAATGCATTAGGGGGTGATGTGGTGGAGGCTGACTCCATACACAGTTCAAGTGTAGATATGACAGAGCCCGATAGGCTCAGGAATCTGTACACCTGTTGATTGACGGTTGAGAGGCGGGACCAAAGAGCCAGAGCTCAACCCCCGCAAACACAACTAGGTGAGTACACACACACTACTAAAAACAGAAAAGGGCGGGGGTGTGTGGGTGTTCCGAAGGCCCAGTGTTGCCAGGAACCAAAATACGTCGACCTTCACACGGGTCTAGGTCACTGTTGCCTACTGTATCACCCTTCAAGTAAACAGTCAATATTCTCATGCCCTTCTGTAGAATGCTTTGGCTTAGCCACTGTGTGGAGGTGTGTCGCTCCCCCCCCCCCCACATAATTCAGTCCAATTCAAATATTTTAATCATAAATGTCTTTAGTACATTTATAGTTAATTGACATAAGTTGACGGTGAATAATTTACCTATTGCAATACTAATTAGTCAACTGTTGCAATAAGACATCTGTATGATTTGACATCAGTTTAGTTACAGGCACATACTGGCCTCATGAACTTGTGCCAACGTTTAGCTTAATTTACAGCACTGATGAGTCACAATAACGTGGCTGAAGTATGTTGACCAGACCACACACTAGAAAGTGAAGGGGCGACGACGTTTCGGTCCGTCCTGGACCATTCTTACAATCAATTCATTCTCAAGTCGATTCACAATCGACTTGAGAATGGTCCAGGACGGACCGAAACGTCGTCGTCCCTTCACTTTCTGGTGTGTGGTCTGGTCATCAACTTACAGCACTGATGAACTAGTTACAGAGTTGAGTTGTATGTACAGCAATAGTCTGTTGACAGACGATCACACTATCATGACCCCCAAAAGAATGCAGAGTTCAACACTTCTTTTCAATGTATCAGAAATACAACTTTAAGTGAAGGCCTGTGTCTAAAATCACTACCTCTCTCTCTCTCACACACACACACACACACACACACACACACACACACACACACACACACACACACACACACACACACACACACACACACACACACACACTAGAAAGAATTTTTCCAGTGTCAGTAGTTGACAAATGGAATGCATTAAGCAGTGATGTGGTGGAGGCTGACTCCATACACGGTTTCAAATGTAGATATGATATAGCCCAGTAGGCTCAGGAATCTGTACACCAGTTGATTGACAGTTGAGAGGCGGGACCAAAGAGCCCAAGCTCAACCCCCCTTCCCCCGGCAAGCACAACTAGGGGAGTATACAGTACCTGACATTTACAAGGCCAACAAACGAAGAGAGACGGCGAGGGAACCTGGTTATCACAGTAATTACTACACTGACGCATCCTATGCTAGGCTACACCGCTTTCTTTATAATGATGCTCCGTGAATAGTCGCTATTTAACCACAACTAAACATTAAAGCTAAACATAACTAAACTGAGGTCCAACTATGTGTCGTAGAGGTTTGCATGCGTGTATAATGTATATATGTATGGTTCAAGTTCATGTTTATTGAGACATACTGAGGTATGTCTAAGATAGATCGCCATCTATGGCGATCTATCCTGTAGATCGGGATAGATCTAGATAGTAGACCTGAACCTACTGGGCTCTATCATATCTACACTTGAAACTGTGTATGGAGTCAGCCTCCACCACATCACTGCCTAATGCATTCTATTTGTCAACCACTCTGACACTAAAGAAGTTTTTTCTAATATCTCTGTGGCTCATTTGGGCACTCAGTTTCCACCTGTGTCCCCTAGTGCGTGTGCCCCTTGTGTTAAATAACATGTCCTTATTTACGCTATTAATTCCTTTGAAAATCTTTTATGTGGTGATCATGTCCCCCCTAACTCTTCTGTCTTCCAGCGACGTGAGGTTTAACTCCCGTAGTGTCTCCTCGTAGCGCATACCTCTCAGCTCGGGTACTAGTCTGGTAGCAAACCTTTGAACCTTCTCCAGTTTAGTTTTATGCTTGACTAGGTATGGACTCCATGCTAGGGCTGCATACTCCAGGATTGGTCTGATATGTGGTATACAAATTTCTTAATGATTCCTTATACAAGTTTCTAAATGCCGTTCTTATGTTGGCTAACCTGGCGTATGCCGCTGATGTTATCCTCTTGATATGGGCTTCAGGGGACAGATCTGGCGTGATAACCCCCACGTCTCTCTCTCTGACTCTTGAAGAATTTAATCTCCCAAATGATACCTTGTATCTGGTCTCCCGCTCCCTACACCTATCTTCATTACATTACATTTGCTTGGGTTAAAATAACAACCATTTGTTCGACCATTCCTTCAGTTTGTCCAGGTCTTCTTGAAGCCTCAAGCTGTCCTCCTCTGTCATAATCCTTCTCATAATTTTGGCACGAGGCCTGGTCGACGACCGGGCCGCGGGGACGCTGAGCCCCGGAAGCACCTCAAGGTAACCTCAAGGTAACCGTCAGCAAACATTGAGAGAAATTAATCTATTCCCTCCGGGAGATCATTTATATATATCAGAAACAAGATAGGACCGAGTACAGAGCCCTGTGGGACTCCACTGGTGACCACGCTAATCTGAGGTCTCACCCCTCACTGTAACTCTCTGCTTCCTATTGCTTAGGTACTCCCTTATCCACTGGAGCACTTTACCAGTCACTTCTGCCTCTGTCTCTAGCTTACGCGCCAGCCTCTTATGGGGTACTGTGTCATAGGCTTTCCGACAGTCCAAGAAAATGCAGTCCGCCTAGCCTTCTCTTTCTTGCTTAATCTTTGTCACCTGGTCATAGAACTATTTAGCCTGAAAGGCAACATTTACCCTCCCTGATCCCATGTTGGCGATTTGTCACGAAGTGAGTGAGCGAGTAATTACAGACACAAGACATTTATATATAATTTAAATTCAAAATTCAAAATTTTAAATATATAAATCAAAAATAATTTACCACAAATACCCGATTATTATTATTTTGGGTTCATCTTCAAATTCTTAGGATAAAACAGTCGACGACCGTCAAAAACAAAAATAAAATCGCCTCATGACGTAACTACCAATTAGCAAAACTTTAAATATAGTGAGGTAACGATGACGTCATAACGCGTCGCACACCCAGCTGGGATCTGCTGGGTGTGTCATGAGTTGCAGGTCTCTTCTGACTCACTCTGATTGTTTTGACTGTTGTGGAATACACTTGGACTGGTGGTAATACTAGAGTGTAGAGTATATACTCACCATGGACGGAGCGCGCGTAGCTTCCCATGTTGTCAGGTATATCTTATAATCACCTCAGACACTTCCTTTAACGTTTCTGTAAACAATTATAATACAAAGCTGGGAATCATATAATGTTATCTATCACTGTGTAATATACAAATTTAATGCATTACTTTTATTTCAGCATTATATAACCATAATACGTAATGAAGTACTTACTACACGAGCAGAATTTATGAAACTAGTTCACTGCACATATCAGTTTGCACATCTAAGACTGTCGTTTTGCTCTCAATACTTTTTTTACTGTTGATATACACCGAACTACATAACTAGAGCTTATCGAGACTAAATGACCTTTTAGGGTCGAGTTCCTGAGCCCATTATGTGCCTCTGTATCCCCCTTTCAGAGGGGGATACAGAGGCACCCTTCCTCTCCAACGCCCACGGGATGGGTATGGGGTGCATAATAAATGGAACTCCACCAAGCGAGCCACGCCACAGAGAGCCAGCCGCTCACGACGGGGCCCTACCCATTATATAGCTGGTTTTATTGATAACAGTAAGGGAGGGAGACTTTCGCTCTCGTACTAAACTCACGGTGCGCGAGGATACGCGAGAAAAATGACCAATTCAGGCTGGAGTACTGACCTTTGAGTGCACAGGTGTGGTTGTGGGGTGAGGGTAGAGAGCGTACGTCGCGTGAGGGTGAGAAGGCGAGCAGTGCGCCGTCTGGCCTGGCAGCGCCGGGGGGATGATCCCCCACACTGCGCACCCTGCTCACCAGTGCCACACTAAGCCATACTAACACACACTTCACTCCTGTAGGGGTCATCTAGGTACCTTACGGCTTCAAAATACACAGCCCTGGAACGGAAGACAGTGGGTGCTTAGGTGGGATGTATGTAATACTGATCAAATAATATATTATTTTACATAAAACAATGTTTTCGATAACTGTTTAGCCAGCAACACTATTGAAGGTTGCCAGTGCATACGTATCCCCGCGCTCCATTGTTGACGTTTCCATAATCTAATCTAACTCGTTACCTTAACAGATAACATCATTGGGTCTGCATATACACGTATACTGATTATTAAAAAGTTTACTTTAGCAAGTAAAATAACGAGTGCGAACGGCATAGGAGACTTTTCTTTCATTGAAGTAAAGCATTCGGTGCCTTTGTGGAGTTGCCAAATTTGGATTTAAAATTAAAGGTGTGTCATTAGGCTACGACACAGTTAACGTTATTTTTAGCTGTGGTGGCTTATATGTCTGTCCCAGCTACATTATTACACACATATGCAGGGTAAAACCATACTCACGCAATTGTAATTCATTACAACTATAACTTGCTAAATTGGCACAGCTCAAAGAATGAATTCCGTTGCAGAATTTCTACATGTCTCGATTTAATAAGGAACCCTTCACCTACTGCCACATCCACAATGAAATTAGTTTAACTGGTCAAGTATCTTCTCAAACTGCTTGCGAGATGTTCCTGCAAGCAGGACTCGCACATCTGGATGGACCCATCCCTCGAGCTTTCCTTGGGCTCTATCCATTACGGCCTTCACGTTTTTCCATGCTTCAGAACATTTATTATTTCCTTGGGCTGGTTAGTGTGTGTGCGGAGTGTACAGTGTGCGTGTGTGGAGTGTAGTGTGGGTGTGTTAAGTGTGCATGTGTGGAGTGTGTAGTGTGCGTGTGTGGAGTGTGAATTTGCAGTTTTCAATATATCGCAAATCTGACTCAAGAGCGTTATTTTGGAGCCGATATAGTGTGCCTCCCCTAGCAGTTTATCGTTAACTCTACGTCCATTCAGGGGTTCCTATACCTCTTGTCCTGTACATATCACGTATTCCAATGTTAAAGTCTCTTGTGTTACTGTATATATTAATGTTTATAGTACTCCGTACAGGCACATGTATTCATTAATAAATACATTAATGAATATTAATGTATTCATTGGTTTGTAGTTTTCATTCAATACCTTGTCATGATGCACTATGTAACAACCGGATCAGCTAGTTGTGGTCACGCCACTGGGTAGCGAATAACATTGAAACACACCTGGAACCAATAACATAAACATACACAGACGTGGATATAGAATCACGTGCACAAAACCACGCCTACCACACACACAGAAGAACAAAGGAGCATAGGATCATACACGCGCTACCCAGGAAAATGATACACACTAAATAAGAAGAAATTATGTACACGCACACTAAACACACTCTAAACAACAAGACAAACACACTCATACCACCCACACCACACCACACTGCACCCAAGCACGCAAAATAAAGGGTTACAGGCCAAAGCGAAACACGGCCACAAAAGGAACAGTAGAAAACAGTACAGCAGAAAACCCAGGCCCACGCAGGAGCCAAAACCCCCCTCAAAATCACACACCCACACGCATACGGACACAACCGGCACCCGGAGGTACGGAAAACACACCACACACACACAGGAGCAGCAGCATCTCAAGGGGGGAGACACACAAACACACGCAACCCCCGCCAAGGACACCCCAAGAAGCGGAAAGGGAGCGCATAGCAAAGCAAACCCCGAAACCCCCCAACCCCTCTAAACCCCCCCCATCAACACCCCAACCCCACCCAAGCCGAGAACATCACCTTGCCACCAAGGCACCCGCCGACCCAAAGGCAACCCCACGAACATAGGCATCTGTGAACCACCGACCAAACTCCTCCGGAAAAGCGCGCTGCAACCACCACCAGGTAAACCGCATGCGCCCCCGTAAAAATCCTAAAATTCGGGCGATCCCAAAACCCTCCCGCCTCCCAACCCACACACAAAACACATAATCAGCAACCAAAACACACAATGTATTACGCACCCGCTGCGGATAAGCCGGAAAATACAAAAACAAAAATTGCAAAACATCACCCCGACAACCCGGACCACAAAACACCTCCAGGACATCCCGAAACCAGTCCACCAACCCCTGTAACCGGACACAAAAATAAAGTACATGCACCTGCGATTCACATAAACCACAGTGAGCACACGCCCCAGAATCACGCAAGCCAAGCATACACAACCGCTCATTTGTCGCCAGCGACAAATGCAGAACCCGAAACAGCAATTCACGCTGCTGAGGCGCCAAGAACCGTGCCCCCAAACACGACCAGATACCACCCCAATCCCAACACGGGAACAAGCCCTCCACTCGAGGCCGCACCCGGGGCAACAACACCCCATACACAGCCTTGCACGAGAAAGACAGAAACCCAGGATGGCGGCAGAGCTCCCGAAGAATCCCCACGGCCCAAGAATAAACAGGGGGGTAACCAAGGCCACCTCCTGACAAACCCCCAAATCAACCAAAAAACTGAAGCGAAGCGAGCAGAAAAACACACCCAGCGTATTCAACCCCCCACCGAGAGCCAGCCCCCGACGCAACGAGACCCAGAAGAGGGCCTTGGCCTTCGTGAAAACGTCAGGAATGCCAACACCCCCCTCTCTCACCCCTAACACCAACGTTGAACGGCGCACCGGTTGATAACGCCCACACCATACATATCTATACACCACACTCTCCAAACTCAAGGCCTTCCGACGATCCAACGGGAAACATCGAGCCACAAACCAGACACGCGACAAGACCTTACACGCAACAAGCAGCCCCCTCTGATAAATCGTCAAGGGACGACGCGACAAAAGGCCAACTGCAACACCAACCGACCGAGAGACAGCACCCCAATTCCACTCCAAGGAGCGATCATAGGAGGCAAACCAAGTAATCCCAAGAACCCGAATCGAGGAGACCACCGGAAACCACGACCTATCCCACACCAGGCGGGAGGCCCACTCACCGATCCCCATCAACCCCGACTTCGCCCGATTAAGAACGGCCCCCGTAGCGGACTCAAACCGCAGGAGAACGTCCTGGACAGCTTCAACAGAACCCTCCGAAGCTACAAATAGAATGGTGTCGTCAGCATACCCGCAAACGGGTAGCCGGAGACCGGACGGCAGACAAGGAGGCACGATCAAGGAACACGCTTTCACCGCCCGAAAAAGAGGTTCCTGAAAAATCACATACAAAAGCATGGACATGGGACACCCCTGACGAACGGAACGGCAAATAGGAAAAAATGAGCTAAAAAACCCATTCACACAAACGCGACTGCGACTCCGGACATACAACAAACGGATCCACCCCACAAACACCACCGGAAACCCAAGCCTCTCCATAGCACTAAAAACAAACTCTAAAGACACCCGATCAAAGGCCTTGGACCAGTCCAAGCTGATCATAGCCGCCGAAAGCCGATACTCGGACGCATAGAGAAGCACGTCACGAAGTAAGGCATTGCAATGCATCAGGGCACGGCCAGGCACACCACAAAATTGCTCCATAGAGACCACCGACGCAACGACACCCCGACATCGACGCGCTAAAACCTTAGAAAGAATTTTATAATCAACATTTAAGAGCGTAATAGGCCTCCAATTGGAAAACAACTGCAAATCGCCCGGCTTCGGGAGTAGCCGCACGATCCCGTCACAGAAGGAATCAGGCAGAGCACCCAAACGCAAACACGCCTGCACCACTTCCAAAAGCACCCCCCCCAGCACATCCCAAAAGGTAAGGTAGAACTCAATGGGCAGGCCATCCGCACCCGGCACTCTCCCAGAACGAAACGACCGAACCACCTCCAGGAGCTCCACCGTGGAAACATCCTGCACCAACCGGGCACACTCCGAGCGCGACAAACCGGGAAAGCACCTGTCCAAAAAGGAACCCGCGAGCACACTATCACCATGCACCTCCCCATAGAGGGCCTCCAACTCCCGCCGTGCGGTAAGCAGAACACCCTCTGTGCTAGAAAGCACAGACCCATCAGGCCGCCGAAGGCCCTGGAGAAGAACGGAACCCCTAGCAGCCTTCTCCCTCCCTAAAAGAAAGGGAGAGAGCCTCTCCCCATCCACCCGCTCAGCTACACGAGCACGCACGCGAACACCGTCAGCCAACACCGCACGCAAATCACAAATACGCTCCTTACACTCAGCAATCTCACTAAAGCAGTCAACCCCAGCATTCAACCGCACATATAAAGAAGACAAACGCGCCTGAAGGAACCGCAGCAGACCAAACCTCCCGGCAGCCTCCCGCTTAGCAACAATCCCAAAAAACCTCCGACACTCCACCTTACACCACTCCCACCAAACGAACAAAGAGGAGAAATTAGCCTTCCGGGCAACGATGCCAACCCACCAGGCCCGAAACTGCGCACAAATACGTGGACAACGCAACAACCGACAATTGAGTTTCCACCACCCAGGCCCCACCCGCACCTGACTCCGGACACCAACCCGTACAACCACCATACAATGATCCGAGAAAGCCACCGGGACCGTGCGAAAATCAAAAACCGAACACTCCCCACCAGAAACATAGAACCTATCCAACCTAGAACTCGCCCCACGCGCAGCGAAGGTATACTCCAACGAGCCGCCACACAAAACAGCCGCATCGCGAAACCCGCACGCACGCAAAACCTCAATTAAAGCGGCCGAAACATTCCGAGGGTGAGCACTAGAGCAATCCCTCACACTCGTAACACAATTAAAATCCCCCCCAAAGATCAAATCCCGCGTATCATGCCGCAGGTATGGCAAAAGCCCCTCCCGAAAAAACAGCTCCCGGTCCTGACGATGCGCCACCCCAGAAGGGGCGTACACTGTCAAGAACGGAATCACAACCCCCAAATACTCAGCCCGAACAAACAAGACCCGCCCATCTTCATCCATTTCCGTGTGAAGCACGGAAATGGATGCCCTCCGCGAAAACAACATCAGCGTTCCCCCAAAGGACGTCCTCGGCGGGTTCAGCACAACATGATACTCAGCACACAACCCCTGCAACACAGACACATCCCGAACATTGTGCTCTTGGATCAGAGCCACATCCACCCGCTGCTCCCGAAGCACATCCACAAGGCCCAATTGGACCGCCAAAGCATTCAGACCACGAACATTCAAAGACGCACAAACAATAGCAGGCGCCATCGAACCTATTAATGACCCCCAGCCCCTCCAGGACCACCAGAGGGCACAGAGCCACCCACTGCAGAGGCGCCGTCAGCATCCCGAGGCTCAAACTGCCGCCGTTCCACCGTCGGGGAATCCACCATAATGCCTGGCCTCTGATCCCGCAGGAGGCGGACAGTGCCGGCATCACCCAGCGAAGCACGCCGAGACCCCGCTGCCACTGACCAGGTATCACCAACGTCCACCACCGACGAGGAATTCTTGCTGCCAACCGGCACTGCATCACTTCCGGAATCCATATCAGACACAGGAGAATTAGGAGGAGGAGGGGGGGCACCACCCAAGGCACAACTCCGCGAAGCCTCAATCCGTTTGCCAGGGGGCTCTCGACTGCGTGAGCGCGCCCCCGCAACGCGCTTCCGGCGAGGAGCATGGGAGGTCAACGCCCCCTCATGGCACGCACCCGCAGGGGGAGCAGTAGGCGGACTCGCAATGCATGCAACAGGAACGCCGGCACCAACGACGACGCTCCCATCACCCTCAGTGAAAGCATCGCCTACAACGGGAGGCACCGAGACGACACTCCCAACACCTCGCCCATTCACCAACGAAGCACCAGGAACAGGATGCACCTCCACATCCACCGGAAGGAGAAGACGGGAATCAGGAGCAGCCACGTCCTCCACCACAGCTGGCACAGAAGACACGATAGGCACAGACGAACCAGCAGGCACATCAGTCGCAGGTGCACCACCAGGCACAACAGTCGCAGGTGCACCACCAGGCACAGCAGTCGCAGGTGCACCACCAGGCACAGCAGTCGCAGGTGCACCACCAGGCACAGCAGTCGCAGGTGCACCACCAGGCACAGCAGTCGCAGGTGCACCACCAGGCACAGCAGTCGCAGGTGCACCACCAGGCACAGCAGTCGCAGGTGCACCACCATGCACAACAGGCGCAGGTGCACCACCAGGTACAGCAGTCGCAGGTGCACCACCAGGCACAGCAGTCGCAAGTGCACCACCAGGCACAGCCGACGCAGGTGCACCACCAGGCACAGCAGACGCAGGTGCACCACCAGGCACAGCAGTCGCAGGTGCACCACCAGGCACAGCAGTCGCAGGTGCACCACCAGGCACACCAGTCGCAGGTGCACCACCAGGCACAACAGTCGCAGGTGCACCACCAGGCACAACAGTCACAGGTGCCCCACCATTCACACCCCCACGCCGAGGACCAGCCAGGGATGCACCATCCTCACGGAGGGGGGGAAAATCCCCCACACTGAATACAGAAGCAGTCTCCAGTCGAGGAATCTCACACTGGGCAGCGTCATGGCCCTCCTCCCCACAGCGGAAGCACGTGCGGGCCTGCCCTGGATAGAAAACCCGGAACGGAAGACCACAGCACATAACCTTGGAGGGGATGGGCTCCTTGAGGCGCATATGCAGCGTGCGAGTACCCAGCCGGAGGCCCCGCAGCCGCCCGGCACTAAACAAGTTGTACCGATGACGCAACACCAGTGAGGTGACATCAAGTAGAGACGAGCTTCCCAGGCTAATCACCATTGGACGCTCGTTAGCACAAGACCTATACAGATTTTGGTAAACTGCTTCGGCAGGTTGGCAAGACTAGTAGGTTGCGGTAATTGAAGGTGTAGTATACAATACAGTATATTTGTATTTTGCATTATGTTATTGTAGTGTCCGAGTAATTGAGTTGAAATTTGTGGTAAGCTTGACTCTTGGATCCCGCCTTTCAAGCTACCAGTTGTTTATAGAAATGATTCCTGTCCTATTTCCCTATCATATTTAGTTTTAAAATTATGAATAGAGTTTGTTTCCACAATCTGCTCCTTAAGTTCATTCCATTGTTCTACTTACTCTCACGCTAAAGGTTAGTATTCGGTATAAACATTTCGTCTATTTCCACTTTGTCAATCCCTATGAGTATTGTGTAAGTTCCTATCATATTCCCCCTTTCCCTTCTTTTTTCTAGTGTCGTAAGGTTCAGTTCCTTCAGGCGCTCTTCATATCCCATCCCTCGTAACGCTGGGACGAGCCTCGTCGCAAACTTCTGTGTACTGTATTCGCCATGTTGAGCTTGCACCTCTTCAAAGTGCTATATAGTCGTAATGCCTTGGCGCTTTCCTCTGATAATTATCTTATCAGCCTTGAGGCCCTGTGTGTGTACGCACCTAGTTGTGCTTGCAGGGGTTGAGCTTTGGATCTTTGGTCCCGCCTCTCAACCGTCAATCAACTGGTGTACAGATTCCTGAGCCTATTGGGCTCTATCATATCTACATTTGATATTGTGTATGGAGTCTGCCTCCCCCACATTACTTCCTAGTGAATTCCATTTGTTAAATATTCTGACACTGAACAAATTCCTTTTAATGTCTATGTGGCTCATTTGGGTACTAAGTTTCCACCTGTGTCCCCTTGTTTGTGTTCACCCGTGCTAAAGAGTTTGTCTTTGTCCGCCCTGTCTTGTGTGGACTTGTGCCAAACACACTCTTAACAGAGTACGTTGTTTATACACGAAGATAAACATGGCAGCAAGCCAAATATGCTCACACTGGTCTTGTTCATTCAAGACACAAGTGGTATTCCTTGTGTGCGTGTAGTGTAGTAATGACCGTAGTGCAAGGACCACACGTTATTGCTAACATGTGTTTAGCAAGGTGTATGGCATATATGAGTGTTTGTACTTGCCTAATTGTGCAGTTCAGGGTTAGGCTTCCGAACTTCGGCGTCGCCTTTCCACCTTCAATCAACTGCAAGGTATACTGTAAACATGTTTCTGAACCTATTAGGTTCTATTCGTATCTATATTTGATGTGGGTAGAATCTGCCTTAATCTACCTTAATCTCTGAATCTTACTTAGTACATGCCATTTGTTCAATATTTTATCAATGACAAAGATCTGATATTTCTGTGGCTCATATAAGTACTTGGTTTTTACCTGTATCCTCGTCGTGTACCATCCAATACAAATAATTTATCATTGTGTATCTCATCAATTCGGCTGGGAATTTTGCACGTGGTAATCATGTTTCCCCCTCTAATAATTTTGTCTTGCAGTGACGTGCGAATAATCTTATTCTCTCTGATCTGATGGTATAACTGAACGCATCCAGCTTTTTGTTTGAAAAGATAATATATCGACGTTTATCCTACTTATTGCAGGTTTGTAATATAGTCCTAAATGATTTCTTATTTGGATTTGTAAAGGTAGTTTTATGTCGACAGAGCCAATACGAACCGTTGATGGAAGGTCTTTCTTTGGCTCATTCTTGAAGGGTTTCTTATCCACTTTTGTACGTATGTCCGGGCTTCTGGTGAATTCATTAGACTGTTTATCTATCTGTTAACAAACCCTGCATCTAGTTTCAGTGCTGTAACTTGCTTAGGTAAACTAATGTAACTTGGAGACATTTCCAGTATCACTCGTGCATAAGACTGTTACGGTGTTCATTATAAGTGACCTGTGTTGTGTGTGTGTGTACAGTTTTTTCCTGAATGACATGTATGCATATACATGTAAAAGTTTCAAGGTAATATAATAATAATTTATCTTGAAGCACGCCAATTAAACAATAAAACTCAAAACAAAATATTTTCCAATAAAGATATAAAAAGACATGGAGATAAAGGAAATAAATTTAAAATTTCTATTTGTCTTATTTTGGGCGTGACTTGATAATAAAGGCCAATTTACACCTGTTGGTCCTTCCTCACCCCCCCTCCCCTCACCCATAAAAAAAATTGAGTTATATGAAGCTGTGTAAAAAATTTAAATCATGGGAAAATTAAACAAAATCTATAGTTGGCCTACTTAGGGTGTGGGGGATATAAGATAGTCCCCCCCCCCCACACCGCCACCATTCTCCCCCACACTGCCTGAAACCACAACAAAGGATCTTCATGTGGATAAAGTGCCTCTTATTCATATGCAGACGATGAGTCACAATAACATGGCTAAAGATATGATGACCATACCTGTAAATGAAGAAATGACGATGTTTCGGTCCGTCCTGTACCATTAACAAGTTGACTGATCAATATTCAATACTCCTAGTAGCAAGAGTATTCAGTAGTGACTGTGTGAGTCACAGGTTTGGTACACGTGACAACACGTTGACAACAAAGGTGTGGCGATGACCACCTATTGTTCGTCTCGTGGGCGCAATCACAGGAAATTCCCATTACGACATTGTTTATAAACGGTGGATGTGTTATTGGGCCTTTCTGATTAACAACTGACACAACAAACGCTTCAATAATATTATTTTATTTATTTATATATAAAAGAGTTCTTACATTCTTGTACAGCCACTAGCACGCATATAGCGTTTCGGGCAAGTCCTTAATCCTAATTTTCACAAACATCCTCATGAAGGAAATGTAGATGTTTATCTTTCAGAATGTTTGGTAATATGTTTATTGTTTGTGATGTGTTTATATGTATGTATTAACACGATGTACTGAACGGGGTGAGAATAGCTTGAGCTACCTCATCCCTTTGTGTGTATTTTACCTCAATAAACTTATTTCAATTTCAATTTCCTCATGAAGCAGCCTGCAGCAGCTGTCTAACTCCCAGGTTTTACTATTAGTATAATATACCTTAACGATGTAGATAGCGGTGTGTCATATGATCACTACATATAAAATTCTCGGGAGAAGTTACAGGGTAGACAAGGACATTATATAACAGGGGTGGTACTCGCCCAAGGGGACATAGGTGGAAACTGAGTACCCAAATGGGCCACAGAGACATTACAGATAATTTTTTTAAGTGTCAGAGTAGTTAATAAATGGAATGCATTAGGAAGTGATGTGCTGGAGGCTGACTCCATACAGCTTCAAATGTAGATATGATAGAGCTCAATAAACTATGGAACCTGTACACCAGTAGATAGACATTTGAGATTAAACTCAAAGCTCAACTCCCACAAGCACAAATAGGTGAGTATACGAATTCTTCCTACATAGCGTCCAACTGCGCGTTTTAGGAATGGTTGGTTAACGATGCCGCCTCACTGATAATTAAAAAGGAAGGGAGGATACACTAGTTAAGGCTCTGTTGCAGTGGAGGGAGAGAGGAATTAAGCTGGTGAAGGCTCGGTCACGGGAAAGAGGAAGGATACTGGTCAAGGTTCCGTCACAGGAGAGGGAGGATACTGGGCAATGCGCCGTCACAGGAGAGGGAAGATATTGGTCAAGGCTTCGTCACAGGGCAGTAAGAATACTAGTCAAAGCTCCATCAATGTTCGTTTTCTGTTCGTGGGGTCCTCTGTAGGTTAGGATAAGCCTTATCTGATAAGGCACTTTAATACGGCAGTTTCTTGACGTTGGGAACGCTCGCGATAACGGGCTGTTTGTACGTCCTCTCCTCCATCTACTATCATCATCTCCTTTAGCCTCGAATCTTTGTATCAGTCTGTGTTTCTCAACGCCTTTTGGTTATGTTCTACTGTGAGGTCTGGGAAGATGTAAACTTGGTCGTACCCTTCTAGGTCTTTCAGTTTGAGCACTGTTGAGTATCCTCCTACTGTGTTTTAAATTCGCAATGATTATGCATACCAGATTTGCTTCAGGCTGATCTAACCTCCCAGCATAGGCAAGGAAGAGGATCTAAGTATTTCCTAGCAGTTTCCCTATCATTGCCTCAATGATTTGCGCTTCAATCTTGTCCTGTTCTTTTGCAAGGTTTCTTATAGTGAGTTTTTTCTTGTTGTCTACCTTTCCATGGCTTCTGCATCCCTCTCCAGAGAATCTGCATTCCTATCCTGGCCTCTGCCTGTATTCATACTCTCCAGCACTGTCACTAGAAGACAAGCCGCCGACTTCCTGTCCTCGTCGAGGCCACTAGGGTTAGAGGCCCTTGGGTATATCTGTGATTGCCCTGTTATCAATGACTTCAGACCAAAGGGAATGAAGTACTCTGCGCTCTGTAACACCTTCATAAACTCTCGAATATTGGAAGATATTCTTGTGCTTCTACCCAGATTTTGCTCTGGATATTAGACGAACTCATAGCTAACTTTTGATAAACACTCTGTAACCCTTCATAAAGCATAGGGCAGCAGCAGCACATTGCTGTGTACACCTAAGCTTGTTAATACAAAATTCTAACGTACTGTACCTGTACACTTCACAAAAATAAATTACGCGCAGTTTAACAGAGCTTAAACGACTATATTTCAAGGTGACATTCTTTACATTTTTAGTGTAGTAAACAAGTGATAAACCCTTACAACATATTGAGATTTATTTAATTTATTCAATATTTAAAATAAAAGTAATATCTGAGAGGTTCTTAATACTGTACTTGTTTCACTACTATACTTTACATGTACTTTAATTATATGATATAAGACTGTATCTAAGCGATCAGTCTGATGATACTCTACTCACTTTAGTCTCCCAATATTACACACTGTAAAAACTTGTAACTTCCATAATAAGCATATTATTTAATCAAACTGATCTATAATAAATGATTGAGAGGTAAATTAGGACCACCTTCTGCTATATAAGTATTCTTAAGACACCAGTGTGTCGAGGCAGGGGAGTGTCGTCCACCTTGTTTGTGGTCTTAGTACACCCTAGTGGCATGGAATTCTTCCCTCCTCTCGTCAACACAGAGACCCAGTCGAGCACCTTCCATCGTCTTAGCTGTAAGTTATGACTGGCACTAAGTTTTGTCGAAGGCAGAAGGGCTTCAAGGGGCAGTTAGTGAAGGAGACGAGGCGGATATTGTTGAAGGTCGCCGCCTAGACTGTGTCGTCTTGGACACTGTGTGTTGTGTTGTGGCCAGGTGATGGGTCTTGGTGTTGTGGCCAGGTGATGGGTCTTGGTGTTGTGGCCAGGTGATGGGTCTTGGTGTTGTGGCCAGGTGATGGGTCTTGGTGTTGTGGCCAGGTGATGGGTCTTGGTGTTGTGGCCAGGTGATGGGTCTTGGTGTTGTGGCCAGGTGATGGGTCTTGGTGTTGTGGCCAGGTGATGGGTCTTGGTGTTGTGGCCAGGAGATGGGTCTTGGTGTTGTGGCCAGGTGATGGGTCTTGGTGTTTTGGCCAGGTGATGGGTCTTGGTGTTGTGGCCAGGTGATGGGTCTTGGTGTTGTGGCCAGGAGATGGGTCTTGGTGTTGTGGCCAGGTGATGGGTCTTGGTGTTGTGGCCAGGTGATGGGTCTTGGTGTTGTGGCCAGGTGATGGGTCTTGGTGTTTTGGCCAGGTGATGGGTCTTGGTGTTGTGGCCAGGTGATGGGTCTTGGTGTTGTGGCCAGGTGATGGGTCTTGGTGTTGTGGCCAGGTGATGGGTCTTGGTGTTGTGGCCAGGTGATGGGTCTTGGTGTTGTGGCCAGGAGATGGGTCTTGGTGTTGTGGCCAGGAGATGGGTCTTGGTGTTGTGGCCAGGAGATGGGTCTTGGTGTTGTGGCCAGGAGATGGGTCTTGGTGTTGTGGCCAGGAGATGGGTCTTGGTGTTGTGGCCAGGAGATGGGTCTTGGTGTTGTGGCCAGGAGATGGGTCTTGGTGTTGTGGCCAGGAGATGGGTCTTGGTGTTAGGGCCAGACAGGGCCAGCTTTAAGCCAAGTGAACCAATTGAACTTTATGTTCAATGGGGGGCCCCATTCAAGTTTTAATGTTATTTATTTATATACAAGAGGGTTCATCAGGTTATGAGAGTACATGCATACATTGGTGTTTTGAGTGTTACATTCTTGCAAAGTCACTAACATGTATAGTGTTTTGGCCAGGTCCTTAACCCTTGCACTGCTCACCTATTTTCGGCAAAAACGTCTTGGTGCAATTGACAAGGACATATTTTTATTATTTTTACAAATGTTCAGGTAAATTTAATGTCAAAATGTTTCCAAAGTCAACTATTTCCATTTCAAAACACAAATAGTAATGAAAACATTAAAAAACATTACAATATAGCCAAATTAAAAAACAAAAAGCACAACTCTCTGAGCGCCTAAAGGCGCTTTGCGCAGTGCAGTGGTTAAGCTAACCAATAAGTTCAGTTTAGTTAATTTATTATACACCCCATACCCATCTTGTGGGTGGTAGTGGAAAGGGTTACAGAGGCACATAATGGGCTCAGGGACTGAACCCCACAATTCATTTGCTCTCAAATTGCTCATTGACAATCCAAGGTTACACTCAATGGCTCCTTGAAAGGCAGATTCTTTGGCTAACTTATCAGCTCTGTCATGCATTCGGAGGCCAACATGAGATGGAGACCACATGAAATGGACTCTGTTACCATCCTTAATAATTTTGTTGTATTTGTGTCTAGCTTCGGACACGAGCGTGTTACAGTTATATCTTAAAGAGTTGAGAGCAGTTAAGGATGATAAGGAGTCACTTGCAATAATAAATGTAATAATAGGTACATTATAACAGAATTTGAATTCAACCTTATAACTATATTATAAATTATTAGAATACATTATCCTGGTGATTCAGGAAAGTTTATTAAGATTTATCTGAGAATTCAACTGTGGTTAATTCATTAAACAAATTTAATATCAAATAAAGTTTTTTTTTTATGTACTTTTTTCAGGTTTAAAGTAAGGTTTCTCTTATATAAACATTATTTTAATTATTTGCATAAATCTCCTGTAATCCAGTAACAACATAGTACTATACAGTAGTTGTATCTTGCAGATGTGTGTGTGTAAAAACATAATATCATGAAGGGAGGCAGCAGTGACAGTCACAATACTGATTCTCAGGTAAGGTTTTTCATTTAAAGTAAAGGCATTCTGGTTGGTTTGCTTATTAAATATTAGTGTAAATCAATACAGTATAATTTAGTGGTCTTTCATGTTTACGCAAATGGTTTTTGTTGTGTGCATCGTTAGAGGAGGACTGGAATTGGTGGCTCCTTGGTGCTATAGCCTCGGGGATAGCTTTATCCAATTCAATCCATGCCAGGCCCTTGTGAGTCATGTGTTACCATGTTATGGATTATATTTGTATACTCTACTTAATTTGGGGTGATTAAATAGTTTTTTTTTTTTTTTTTTTTTTTTTTTTTTGAGATATATACAAGAGTTGTTACATTCTTGTACAGCCACTAGTACGCGTAGCGTTTCAGGCAGTCACGTAGCGTAGCGTTTAGTCACCAACTCGTGCTTTCTTGAGGATTACTTCTGTGGGGTCTCGTTTGTGTGTGTGATTTCTTTTTAAGTTTTTCTGTGGGGATGTAGCAACAAGGAGCCCACCATGAGTCCTACCAGAAAACCAGTGCTGAATGTAATGAAATGCCTCTTTCTGCTGGGTCCTTGGTGGGCCCTTGGGACCCTCCTTTCCTCATTCAGGAGCTTTGAGCTTTCATTTTCTAGGCTATATGACAGAGGGTTCGAGGAGGAAGGTGCATAGTCCCCTGGTGATGCGCAAGTTGAACTAATGTGAGAATGGCTTTACTACTAAATAGTTTGTGAATATTGGGTCTTTTCTGTCCCATGTTTTATGCTTTGTTTGCTTAGCTGTCATCCATTTTGTTTGCCCAGCTTTTTGGTGGTCTTTTCTTGATTACAGTGATCTACAATCTCTGCTCTTTCTGCTTCTTTAGAGTGGGGGGGAGGGGGGCGGGGCAGATTGTGGTTTTTGGTCCGCGGTAGGCTTACATGTAACTCGCAAGCATCTGGCATGGATTGAATGGAGGGGAGTTTGTGAGGCAGTAAGTTCCAAAGGATCCACCAGAAAGGCATTTTATTACACTTAATGATTTTTCCCATTTCTCTTATTGTTACTGTAATTAAGAGCATAACTATTGAAAAATAGTTATGCTCTTCAGAAATGAAGATGTTTATAAGATATTAGTTTATATAATTGTATTCTATTTTTATAGTTTACAATATATAATATTGTAATACAATAATGGTAATGTAGAATGTGAACCCTTTGGAGAGGAACTCCTTCCACTACTTTTATATTTGTATTTCTTGTAATGTTTTATGTTGCATTAAAGCTTGCCTTATAAATGGTATTAAATAACTATCTCAGGATGAAGTTGTGGAGCGTGTCAAGGCTCGCCTGCAGGAAGAAGGGCGGGAGGCTCGCAACCTTGTTGCTTATTCCTTACCACTTCAGGACCCACCTCACGCTGAATCTGGTTAGTTGAATTCTTCACTTTATATGAATGGGCATTTTCTTGAAGAAAAATAATACAGTACTTATTATTTTTTATATAGATTTCTCCTGAAATTCCTGTGATTTTGGTAGAAATCTGGTTATAACTTTTACCAAGTCAGGATAGTCCAGTGATTAAAGTCCCAGCATCAGCGGCTGGGATTCTCTCAGTTGCGGGTTTGAGTCACTTTAGAGCTGCAGTTGATTTCCTCGATTCTAATAATAATACAAAAGGAAATCACATTTTCGTGATATATCCATGAGAAAATCCACAGGAGCTGTGATAAGGATTCGAACCCATGTGCTGGGTATTCCAAGATGCACGTGCTATACGACCACGACATGGCATAATGCATGGGGGGGAATTGTGTGAAACCCTGGTTCGGCTTCAGGGGAGGCCTCGGGAATCTTCGAGGGTGCAGTAGTACTCCAGGTTGCAATTCTTTTCAGAGTCGTCACATCACGCGTGCATCTGGGAATACTCGGTGCATAGGTTGAAATCCTCATCACAGCTCCTGTTCATTTTCTCAATAATACAATAATAATATAAATAATAATAATGATACAGTACTGATAAATATTATTATTTAGTGAAATAATATAAGTTTTCATTGTCATATAATTCTTCAGGAATGTAAAATAGCAAATAATTAATTTTTTTTTTATTGAACTTAATTGTTAAATAGAGAATGAAATTAAATAAATTTATGCACTTTTTGTTGAGATCCAAATTTTTTGTGTACATTGTTTTGATAAAATTGTGTTGTGTGTTAGCAATCGTATGGCATCGAGAAGTCAGGCGAGTGGCAGAGATGATCCCACGACGTGGATCAAAGCAAGATAAACGTCCGAGATCGGCATCAGCAGGTCGTGATCCCCAGGCCAGTAAGTTGCAGTTGGTTTCGTATAATGAAGGATTCCTACATATTGCAAAAATAGTGGCAGTTGGAAAATTATATAATGGGGAAATTAAACACTGAACTCTGTGAACTTTAATGGCTTGTGTCAACCCTTATTCTGGCTTGTTTTGGTAGATTTCATTTTGGTAAAGTGAGTCTTACTGGAGTGCTATTATGCTACTGTATTGGCTTTGTAATTCTGTACTGTATATGTAGAAATGAAGTGAGCTAGTAGCTAGACCCATCTAGTTGTATTGGGCTTAGAAATGTAGGTATGTAAGGAACTTTATCTGGCTTTATAGGCAAGGGTTGGCTGTTCACTGGCTCTGGAGCATGGAACCGGCACCAATTTACAAAACTGAAGTGGAGCTAGGGCAGTTTTGATATTTGTGCTTTGCAGCCAAAGCTGGCAATGTTGAAGACGGAGCAGAACTGTGTTCAGGCTCATTGTAGTGTTCCAGAGCCACTCCAGAGTGACAGCCAGCAAACCTAGTATATATTATAATTTCATTCACCTACACAGTAGATAGCTACAAAAAGGAGCATTTTTCACCCTTTAAAGAGCTTTGTGATTTTCTATAATTATTCATTACTTGATATTTAGAAGATGCACCTCACTATTATAATTTGTTTATCTTAAAGGTTTGCGTGCCCGCCACTGGGGCTTCCTTTTCCGAAATTTGCAACAAGCAGTGGATGAGATCTACCAAACATGTGAAGATGATGAAAGCATTGTGGAGTGTAAGGTAACTTTTCATAGATACACCATTTCATTTTATATATATTTTGTTGACTTGTTTCCTACTGGGATTGGTTTCAAGAACTCTTCTTTGTTGATTCCTGGTACTATTTTGTGCATAGTGATAAATAAAGGAGACTGATGCCCTAACAGGTTGGTATATGGCAGGCATCCATGTAAGAGCAGGACATTTTCTCGCATGACTATTCACATACCTGTATCTAAAAATATGTGAATAGCCTTCATGACATTATGCAATGGTTTTACATTTACACATTTATTTTGTAGTTCATAGCATAAAATTTATTGATTGATTTCTGAGTGCAGATGATAAATGCTGAAAACTAGGTTAATTGATTTACTCTGCTCTTCGTATTGCAGGAGGCAATTCTAATGTTAGAACGCTACAGCAGTGACTTCCAGAAACTCATAGAATGGTTGAAATTAAAGTGGGAATATGAGCACACACCTCCCCCTCAACGGCCGAACTCCTTGACGTGGGAAATTCGCACATCTTCCCCTGGAAAGGTAGGTTTAGTAATAAAATGAAGCCTTTTTGAAAGTATGCAATATTACCTTTTTCATAAATACAGTATTACATTGATATTGTGAAAGAATTAAATATTTTTTAATTTGACCATTGAGAAACGTATATTACTGTATAGAGAGTTTTAAGCAAAATGCCTAAACATTTTTAGCATTATAATTTATATATATTTTCATAATGAAGTTAAACATAGTAGAGTATTGTAATAAACTACTTCTAGAAAACAGGCAGTTTATATTCGGTTTTATAATATTACAAGTAAAAACCATGAGGAATTAGATATTTGTTTATAAGTCTTACAAGATATGTTAAAAGTAATTTTTTGGTCTACTTTTAGATATAAAATATATAAGAAGCTTAGAAAACTGATACAAAAGTGTGAGAAACGTTTTGTTAGAAAATGTCTTTTAAAAAGTTGCTGTTAATAAGGCATCTCACGTTTATCTAAGTTAAGCACTGTGCATGGTAAAGATGACAATCTTTATCCCTGTCTAATGGTAACTTTTTTTTTTTTTTGGCTCAGGCTTTACAACATGACCGTAAGATCTTGACTGTTAGTGATGCAAGAAGAGCTCTCACATTTGATACTAAACAAGGACGTCCTGGTCTTATGAATGGTAATGTACAAGAAGAAAAAACTGTTGACAAACTCCAGTCATCTAAACAGGATGCATTGGACAGTGATGTAAGGATTTTATCTGGGGTAATTTCACCAACTAAACCAGTCATAGTAGTGCACGAGGCAAACGTGGATGAACGACAAAAGAATACTCAATTTTCCATTTCGGTGGAGAAAGGAGAGGTCCAAAATGAAAGAGTTTTGGAAAAGGTTAATGAATGTGATGGAAATGAGGCGAGTGAAATGAATGATATTGAGAATTCGGATGAAAATTTGACACAAAAAGAAGAAAATGTGCAAAATGCTATTACAAAAATTGCGGAAAATTGTGTTGAAAATGGGAAACTGACAGACGTAATGGAAGGTGACACAATAACTGAAAAAGAAAGTATAGAAAAAGTGATTAATAATAATGCTACTGTTAAAGTTGTAGACCGGAAAGTAGAATGTGAAGATAAAACTTGTCAGGAGGATGCAAATAATTCATGTAAAGTCATTAATTGTTCGGAAGCATTTGAAGATTCTTTGAAAATGAACTCTGATAAGGACTTCAGTACTCACTTCAAGGTTTCAGATAGCCCAAAATCTAAGGAAACTAAATCGGTTCGAAGTAATACTACAATAGTAGGCTTAAAATCAAAAGATAATAGTTTATCGTTACCAATAAAGGCAAGTGATACTAATAAAATTGCTGAAGGGAAGACGTGCGACGTGAAAACAAGTGAGAGTGGAGAAGTGAAACGTTCATGTGCAGATGTTTTGCAGGGAAAAAGTCCAATGCAGAAGCCTGGACCAACTGTAAATATGAATAAAGTAAGTTCTGAAGGGAAAGTAATTAGCTTTAAGAATGACAAATGCATAGCTCAAATTCACACGTCTCGACCGTGTGCTCTTGCTCTTCCTGAACCTTCTTGGTCTTTGGATAAGGTATGGATTTTCTCTCCTCTCCTCGGTTATCTGTTGCCCCCTTGGTCAGGGATTGTTTCTTTAAGGTGCTATTTGTGTTCTTTTGGTCCTGGGGTTGTTTTCTTTGCTTACACCCATCTCCTTCCTTCTAGCTATGAATGCACTGGCTGGTTTCTGAAGAGCTCCTTTGTTGATTGGTTGGTTCGGCCAAGGGTGCATCTTTTGTTGTCTGGTTGTTGCCAGTCACCATTACTGTACATCCACTCCACTAGTGCTGTGCAGGGGGGTGCTCTGTTTGTAATTCTGACGTTCCTGGTCCATTGTTCTAGGTCCCAATTGTCTTTGGTAATCTGCATTGTAATAAAGTTTAGACAGCCTGCAGTCTCCTCTCGTGCCCATAATGTTTGCCAGTTTACAAACATTTCTGAATATGTCCTGGGTTGATATTTAGGCTAGGGTTTCTTTCGGTGGTCCAACAAAGAAAGTTGGACCACCAAAGTTGCCGTCTCATTTCTTTGTGGATATTCCTGGTCCATTCCTGGTTTTGGGGAAGTTATCTTGTTACTACTACTCCCCTTCCATGGGAGTTGCTTCTGTCTCTCCTCCAACCTGGGCGTTCACTCTTTTTGTTTTGTTCTCTATTGTAACATGGCAACAAGGAGCTAGCATTGAATGTAATGAAATGCCTCATTCTGGTAAGTCCTTGGTGGCTTCTTGGACCCTCACTTTTATTTTCAGTGGCTTCATATTTTTTTTTTTAGTCTTCTAGGCCAAATGACTGAAGCTGTCTAGTCGAGGGATCAACAATCTTGGGGTGGCCACCTTGTAACACACAGGTGTAATTAACAAGTAAACTGCTTTTAAACAGGTGGTTTACTCTGTTGGGGGAGGGGATCTCATTTTCTGGTTTTCTCTGCTTTGTTTACCTTGCTAATTGTCTGTTTTGGCTCTCCCACCTTTTTGGTGGCTTTAGGTTAGAGTGATTTAGTATTCTCTTGTTTCTTTTTAGAGGCGGGGCCAAGTTTTGGCCTCTGGTCCCTGGTAGGCTTACAGTTACTCAAAGGTCTGGAGAGGATTGAATTGGGTGATTCTATCCAGGTAACTAGCATTAAGGAGCCACCTGAAAAAGGTGTTTTATTAGATTCAATGCTGTTACTTTTTATTAAAAGAATAAGTGCAAACATAGCTTCTCTCTTAAAATGCAAGATCTTGAGTGCATTTATTATTTATGGTATTGTGCATTAAGTTTCTATAGAATGAAGTGCTTCCTTTTTAATGAATGAGATTATAACAAAACTAAACTGAGAATATATTTAATAATTTCTTTAAAGATAGTAATTTTTTCAGTTTTTCATTTACAATATTCTTTCTCTATGCAGGCATCCCAAGTACGTCAGGCATTTAACCAAAACAAAACTCCACCTAAACAACTTCGTTCCATGAGTGCCAACAGCCGACTGTCTTCTGTGTCTAGATCCTTTGATATCAAGACCAATATATCTAAACAACAGGTAATGTCAATTTTTATTTAAAGCTGTTCATCTTCCCTATTTTTATTTATTTTTTGGCACTTGCTGTATACACAGCCTGTCCTCTCAAGTTGTTAGGTCACAAAAAACAAATTCTAAATTACCCAAATGTAACCGATGGATTAATGTATAGAAAATGTGATTGTTTTGAGCTGCAGTGATTTATAGTTCATAATGTTTTGTTTGTTGAGGATTTTAACATCAAAATGCTATGTATTATTCGAGAGGAAAGGTTGGTAAGGTTTATGCGTGGTGGAAAATTGTTGTTGCAATTTTTCTGATTAATAATAATGATAATAACAATTACAAACTCTGCTGCCATCAGGGTGCCGGTGGCAAGTTAACTTACCGAAGAGTAGAAGGTAAAGCAGCCCACAGCCCTCCATTGACACGCAGACAGACGGTGGATCCCTTACGTAGCGGCAGTGGTGGTGGTTCCAGACACACGGCCCCAAATGCAATCACCAGGTCATATTCTTCATTAGGAACAATGGTATGCAAAATTTTGAAACCATTTTAAGATGCTGGTGCTTGGTAAATTTTGATACTGTAATAGCAAATCTTAACATCTCCATTTTAATTGTGTATAGTACAGTATCTAATAAATTCTGAGTATAGAACTGTATTTGATATAATGAGTGGGAAAGTAGGAAGCTCTCTGATTAATCCAACCCATTGTCGTGTAGAATACAGTATATCTAAAATTTGTATGGATATACCTGAAATTTAGTGTAAACCTAATAGTACACCATAAACCTATATACAGTACTATACTGTAGTATATTTCAATTTTTTTTTGGGGGGGGGAGGTGGGGGGTAGGGAGTAAAATTCTAATGCCAAAATAGTTTTTCTTAAATTCTATCCAGTTTTTCAGGCTTGTATCCCTGGCATACATAAGTACATTTAGTGTGAGGATGGATTGGATTAATCTGTTATATTGAGCTTGTTGATCTTCTTTGTGTGGTTTCCAGTCGGGTATTAACTGCAAGGCTTTGCAGATAAATTTTGCTTGCTTATCTCCTTTCTTGTGGTTTCCAGATCAATTACTAGTATAATTGTAATTCTTTTTAGATCTGTGTTTAGTATGGTTGAGTTTATATGCATGAACCCTTTTACAATTTATAAGAATCTTGGTGATCTTAGAGTATTACTTTTTTTAAGAGATGATTTGTCAGTAATTTGCATTGATAATTGGGATTATCATGTCTTTCATAATATAATTTTATGAGTTTTGTGTGTCTAGATATCGGATGCTTCATTTTCTTTCATCTTCCCCTTGAGAGGATGACTACAAAAAATATAAAATCTTTCAGGAGGCTTAATTAGAGCATGTCCTTAGTCTTTTTCCCATTTCCTTATGCTTTCATTATACAGTTGCTTTATTTACCTTCTTTTGAAGTAAGGAGGCTTGATGCTCTCCTATTACTTTAGGGGCTCCTTTTGTTTGTTTGTTATCTTTCCTTGTTGCTTTATTATTCATTAATAGTCTGTTCTAACATTTGAAATATGTATTGGAAAGTGTTTTTTCTAATGCACTTTATGCTCCATGTGTTTTTTTTTTTTTTTTAAGCTTTCTCTTGTCCTCATACTATCTACGCTTGGATAATCCAAATTACTTGGGCTCAGCCGAGGTAGCCAGACATTCAAGCTAGTTAACTTTTCTGGAGGAGCTCCTTGGTGGCTCCCGGAAGCTATCTTGCTGGGATGGCTTCCCATACAGAGTCACATCAGACATAGGAGTCCTATTGGCTTACTGGAGACCAGAGCCAAAACCTGGCCTCTGAGGCAGACAGAGCTGGGGATAAATGTGATCACCCATACCAAGAAATCGCCCAGAAAGTAAGCAAAGCAATACGAACAACTGCAAGGTTCCATAAATGAAACACTGAGATAGGTAATAGACGCAGAATCGACTTGAGAGTGGTCCAGGACGGACCGCAACGTCGTCGCCCCTTCACCTTCTAGTGTGTGGTCTGGTCTAGCTAATAGACTTTGCAAATGGTTCTCTTCAATCTGATCTGGAACCTTCTAGTGTATACAGCCGCCAACAGGTGGTGTCCTGGGCACTCCCGCATCCGAGCCAGCAAAGAGTCGGTCCTGTCGCTGATGTCGGAGTGCTCTGACATTCCTAAGCCTTAGTGAGCCCCACTTCTTTTCCAAGATAAGTGCTGGCTGTCCTTTTGGACCGTGTCCTGTGGGGGGAGGCCCATTTGCTTGGTCATCATTCCTAATCTTTAATATTTGCTTCATGAATGCGTGCTTACAAGCCCCAATGCTTGCGTGGCTTGATATTTCCCCAAGTGTTCGTTTAGCATTGCCTTTGCCCCGACAGAGTGACTTCTCTGGTGTGTTTGGGATTTTGGCCAAGATGCTGAGCCAAATGGCGATTCACTGGATTCGTGTGAAATTCTTATTAATCTGATAGTATATTACATTTGGTTTATTTTAGTGCACAAAGGCTCATTCTGGTCATATCATGAAGAGATATTTTACCAATGTCTTTACCTTTCCTAATGTCACCTTAATGTAAATATAAGTAGAAGTAGAGAACTATATCTTAATGGTTGTGTAGATTTTCTTGGTTTTAATATTTATGGGTCTATTTTCAAATAATAAATGGGTAAAAATAATTTGATTATGTACATGAATTAATTGGAAGCTTTATTTGCTTTTGATTTTGGTTTGCTTACTTGTATGGTAATTCATTTTCCTGATTTTGTACTTAACCCTTAGAAGGCACAATTCTCTCGGCTCCGGGTCACCACAATGCACAATTCCCAAAATATTTGTAAAAAAATAATTTTGTTTCTTCTATGCAAATGAGTTAAAAATATTGACAAAAGTACAAAAATAAGTTAAACAAATTTTATCGGCACTTTACCTCGGTGGATATGCAGTATGGGTATTTCAAATGACAGGTAATTAAATTCTGATCTTGATATCAGTTCCCATTAGGATTCGGGTAAAACAAAAAATGAATATGGGTGAATGATGAAAAATGCCAATACAGTAGTCTCAATCTTAATATTTTGTATAAATATTTTTGAATACAATGGTTTCATATGCTCAACAATTATTTTAAAGATCTAATTATATTTAGTACAGGTAACAAAATATGTACAATGGAACCTCGACTTACAAATTTTCTGAGTTACGACCCCCATTTCGTCGGAAAATTTGACTCAAATTATGACCTTTACCTCGACTTCCAACTGACTGTCTTTACACGTGTATGGGTCGACGCAGTGCGTGGTTCCTGGTGGTACGGGCGACTCCGCGTCAGTTTACCATGATGATCGCACGAAAATTTTTTGTAAAGAACTACATTGCTTTTGTGTTTTTTTTTTAACATAAAAGTAATTATTATATATCATGCCATGGGTCCCAAGAAAGTTAGTGGCAAGGTTCAACTTAAGAAAAGACGTGTGAGGATGACCATAGAGGAAAAACAAGTCTCTATGGAAAGGTTCTTAGTGAGAAAAAACAAGTAGTGAGCCACAACCAGGTCCTAGTGGTATGCAGGCAAAACATAGAGACAGTACCCCAGAATAGTCATCATTGCCTTATGTTATAAAGAAAGGGGACTTCCCTTCCAAACAGTAACACCTCTCCTCCTAGAGGAGCAGAGGTGTTATATGAGGAGATATAGTTGTAATGGCTTGGCACTTTCCCCTGATAATTACCTCCCTCCTTTCTTCCTCACCGTCTTCCATACACCAACAAAAGGTAAGGTACCTTAACTTGAGGTGCTTCCGGAGCTTAGCGTCCCCGCGGCCCGGTCGTCGACCAGGCCTCCTGGTTGCTGGACTGATCAACCAGGCTGTTGAACGCGGCTGCTCGCAGCCTGACGAATGAGTCACAGCCTGGTTGATCAGGTATCCTTTGGAGGTGTTTGTCAAGTTCTCTCTTAAACACTGTGAGGGATCTGCCTGTTATGCCCCTTATGTGTAGTGGAAGCGTGTTGAACAGTCTTGAGCCTCTAATGTTGATAGAGTTCTCTGAGTACCTGTTGCACCTATAGGTAAGCTATAACTTGTACATACTATAGTACAAAGTGTGTATGTATTATGCATGACATGTATTTGGAAGTTAATATTTTTTGGAGTGTGGAATGGATTAATTCAATTTACTTTTTCTTATGGGAAAATTCGCTTCGAGTTACGACCCATCTGAGAACAGATTAAGTTCGTGAATGGAGGTACCACTGTATGTCATTTTATTAGGTGGTAGCCAGAGAGATGTAATATTTTGGTAATTATTGGTATTTGTCAGCAAAACCTGATGACTAAATTTTTTTAGTGAATAATGTCATATGATGTAAACTTGATTCGACCCCTTTAGAAGCAAAATACATCACATGAGAAAAGCTGTTGTCTAAGGGTTAAATCATGTTTAGCATTGTATGTTCAGCTTCATTGGAACTACAGGCCTTGAATACATATGAGGTCATAACCAATATTATCTCATTGGATTGTTATGTGCCCTTTCTGCAGAGTAGAGGTTTGGCTCGTGGAAACGTCAACCTTGCAGATTCACGCATGGGCAAATGCTATGGGAGCAGCTCATTCTCAAATGTAAGGCTTGTCCTCAACATCAAGCTTAAATATTTATATTTTTTGAGGTAATTATTCATTAGACGAGTTGCTGTGAAAACAGTATACAGTACTGTAATCACAATCATATACAGTACTGTATTTATGTAATTGGGCAATGATTCTGATTTGCTAATACAGTACAGTACTGGAGATGGGTAAGTAAATTGTATATTTATTACCCTTTATATTCTTTAATAAAACACCTTCATTTCTTGTGCTTTTTTTACAAGCATGTTCTTTAAGTATTGTAGTTGTTTAACTTATTTGTAAATATTTGAATATGGTCAATAGAAGTATCTTCTGCATGATTTGTACTTACATTTAGTTTGATTAAATTCTAACAAACAGCTTTTTAGGAATACTGTATGCTATAAACTCGTGAAGCATGTTGTTAGTAGCTATTAATTACAGGTAGTTAAATGTACAAAGTTGAATTAGAAAGGGCAATTATAGCATAATTAGCACGATGTATGAGTGTGTGTGTGTGCGTGTGTTTAGCTCCACTTGTCATTATAACTAAAAGTACCTCAAAGGAATAATTTAAAGGCATTTAACTCGATATCAACAATTGTATTATAAAGCAGGATAAATATAAGCTGTTTTAGGTTATCCAGTAAATGTAAAGCAGTTTCCACATCTTGGCAGTGAAAAGGAAGAATTTCTGGAAGGAATGAGGATTATCTTCATTAAGCACATGTGAATGAGATAGTAGAATGGAAGAAATATGAAGAGATGAACACAAGGCATAAAAGAATGGATTTTTGTTATTACCGAGGCAATGTACAGGGGAGTGGATAGCACCCATAGATTCCTACTGGACACAATGTACATTTTTATCCTCGGCATTGTAGTACTTACGTGATTGAGGTCTACTGCCTAATAGATCTACAGTGAAATGCTTATCTGTATGGTAGATGAACATTTTGTGCATGATTGTTTGAAATGAATTTGTTTTCTGTTCGAGTTGGTCATTACTGTATGCAAATGTATAAATGAGCTTTCGTTCATCTAATTTCATGAACAATTTGTTTTCCTGGTGTGGCATTGATTTCCATATTTGCCAGCACAGGAGAATGCAGAAACCTGATAACAATTTTTTGATAAAGTTGTTTATTTTGGTCATCCTAATTTTGATTGAGGAAACATACTGGATTTGTATATGACTTGGCACTGCACTATGTGTTGTGTTATCGGCATTAATTTTGAGTAATATATTGTAGAATTTTCTGTATTACAGTAACGGCAAAATAAACTTAAAAGATTTTGTTTTAGTACTGTTCAGTATTTAACTTCTGGCCATTATCATGCCTTAAAATATTTAATATTTATTGGCTGTGGTCTAAGCTTTTAATGGAAAAATTTATGCTGCTAAATTGAAAATTAGTACTGTATAAATAAATCCTATTTATAAAAATTCAGGAGTTGTTTCAACAAAGCTGTCCAGAGCAGAAACTATAAGTCAAGTTTTGAGGTCATTAAAATTATATAAAATTTTTAGCAAGTTTTATAAGGATGAATATACTGTACTTTTTTTTGCTTGGAATTTTTCCATTGTGTTTTTGTGTAAGCATGGTGAGGTAGTGCAAATGTTTACACCTCATTCATATTTCTCACAACAAGCGAATGGCTGTGGCTTTACTTTTGTGATAAGCAAACCCACGTGTGGAATTCCATGGCAAATAATTTAAGTTATGCATCTCAATGTTTGAACATTTGAAGCTATTTTTTAAATATTTGGAGAATATTCTAATAGAAGCCACTATTAGTGGCTTCTAATGGTGGGAAATTACTGAAATTTTCCCACCATAGAAGCCACTATGGTGGGAAAAAGGAAAACCAAATGCTAATGTATCGCTAAAGTAGTCATTAAAAACTATAATGCTATGCTCTAAAATACTGATATACATTGTATAATAAGTTACATTTTAGTGAGTTAAATATTACTTGAAGGCTTCTGTATTACTAAAATGGCGATTTTAATACTAAAATAACCACGAATGCTTTGAGGAAAACAGCTCGGTAAATTATCTTTCCATCTACCACAGTCATTAACTTTGTCTTCAGAATGGTGTTGGAAATCATGAGAGAACAGCTTCCAGTTCATCACTCTCCAGCAGCACATCATCAAGTGGCCAGTCATGGGCAGATAAAGTTCGTGGTGCTCCACTCTCCCTCCAGTCATCAAGGCTCTCTCTCCAAGGTTGGAATCGTAATTCTCTGTGTAGTGTCCACCAAACACACACCGAAACTACGACGTTGATACAACGTTCGAACAAGTTTTAACACCTAACCAGTTATAACAACCAATATAGCAAGTTGTAATAACGTTTTAATGTTATAAACACGTTAAGCCAAGATGTAACAACTTTATTACAAGTTGTAACAAGCGGAAAATAGGCAGTTTCGGTTTGTGTTTCCAGGGGTGGCAGTATCACATTTTACATGTTTTGTTTTTTTAATTCTGGAAAAATGAAATAAAAGTACTACTGTATACAAAAAATGACAATTAGTTGTGGAATTTGGGTTTTTATTTAAGGACTACTCATCAGGTTTACCTGTAGTTTATGTGAAGTTGGTTTTGAGAGTTGTTCTACTCTTATAGCCCCAGGCTGCTTTGGTGATAACTAGATCTGTCAGGCTGTTGCTTGTCATAATCATCAGAACATAAATAGTCCAGTACTTGATTCATTTTGGGCACCAATTTTAAATTGTGAAAAAATTGAGGAGATAAGTACTTGGATAATTTTTAAGTGTTTAATAAATATTGTGCTTTAAACCACAAACAAATTGGTTATCATTTAAGTCATATGCCGATGTAGACATTTCTACACCAGTTGTAGAATAGACTGTTGTATTAAATTTTGTTATTCTGGCTTGAGTCAAGGACACACATTTCCAACTAAAAATTCTTGATCTATTTATTGTATTCAGAGCAGTGTATATATTTGTTTTATTGTTAATCTATAATGGCATCAATATTTTTGTTGTTAACAGATGATGGAGAAGGATGGGAAGTTGTCCGGCGAGGAAGGCGAAGTCATGGGGGCAGTACAGCATCACTTAATAGCAACAATCACCAAGGCCATAACAGTCCTTCTGTGAAGGACACACGTAGCGGCAGCTTGAAGATGGATGGTCAGTATCAAATGTCTTGGCAGTTTAGTTATTTCTGATGTGATCACTACTTGAGTGCTTTCTTAGTTCTTGTGCAAGTGTTAGATGTTAGCCCATCTTCTTGCCTTGGGATTTGTCTGGAAGGTTTTATTTTTTGTAATGCATGTTTAAGATTGCCAAGTGCTATTTATGCCTTGTGGAGATTTGTAGCTTGTGGATTAAGCATCTCGTGCATAATACAGATTGTGTTTTCTCGGTTAGTTATCTTCTGTGAGCCATTGGGAGGCTCCCTCAGAAACCATGTTGAGTTTAGTGAAATGCCTCTTTCTGATTACCTCCCTTTCTTCCAGGTTTATCTGTGGATTGTCCATCAGCACCTGGTGGTGGTACCAACAAGTTTCGAGCTTGAGTGAATTGCTTGTGGAGTTGTTTGGCAGTTTTTGAAGCTTTATTTTTGTGAATCTTCCAGTTGTCTGTAAAGCTTCTGATATTCTGGTTGCTTTCCTGGTGGAGTGATGAGTTGTCATTTGCTCCCTTCACCTCTGAGGGTGTCAAGTACTGGCTCTGATCCCCAGTAGTCTAAACGGAACTTTCACGACTGATGTGACCTCTCCGAGTTCTAGATTCATGTTGTGTTCTGCTGCTGCTCAAGAAATGTCTGAATTTATTCATAAAAATGTTTGATCTCGTAATACTTTATTTTGGGTATTTTACGTGTTACATTATATACTGTGTATTATATATATTGTACTATTATATACTGTGTATTATATACTGTATTCCTTATTCTTTTAAACAGGTCACTATGGTAGAGAAATAAAGCAACGTTTTCATGTTCCCAGTTCTGCCATGTCTATGCCATCCTTGATCATTTGTGAGAGCAGTGTGTCAAATGATGTGTCAAAAGCTACTGGAGAAACTAACAACTTGTGTCAAAGGAGAAATAGTCAGAGGAATTGCCAAGTCTCAAAAAGCCAGAGCTTACCGAGTGGTAAAAAATCCATTAGTCACGGTAGTTTAGTTTCCTCAATAGACAGTGAAGGAAGGGAAGACAAAGTACCAGATTTTAAGAAACAGTTTCCTAATGGCTCAAAGAGGACCGAGGGTAGAAAAAGTCGCAGAAATCCCAAAAGTGTGGAGGAAATAGGCAATAAAAGTGATTTTCAGAGGGAGAATGAAACCAGTTTTTATTTAAGTGTTACTGAAAAAGAGAAAAGCCAAAATACTGTTAACGAGGTAAAAAAGAGCACTTGTGTTGATGTAAAAATTACTGAATGTGATATGCAATCAAAAGATCAGAATGATAAAGACAGCATGGAGAATGAGGAAATGTCGATGCAGAAAAACTACGAAAGTAGCATTTCTGAGAACCTACACGAAAGTAATGGAGCCCTTGTTAGCCACATATGTGACCCGTCCATACCAGAAACCTCGGAAACAAGTGATGCTGACGATGATGAAGGTAAAACCCAAGCTAGTCTGGCATCTGAAAGTTTGGAAATTGTTCCTGAACAAGACCTTCTGCAAGCAGAAAGAGAAAGCAGGTAGGATATTTGAAAATGTACACAAAAGAATATTTATTTATAAAATCAATATTTAGCAAGTGTAAATACATATTTATTGCCCACAGTAGATTGAAATTTATCTTCCAAGAAATAATGTCTGCAACAAATTGGTAAATTAATTAGGGACAGTGGGACACTGGAATATTTATTGTAAGTGATGTGACAGTTCATACCGAGAGAAATTCATACTAATAGAGGGACTGCCGAAATAGTAATCGTCTTCTATCGGTATTTATTTCAGTTCATAATGTAGTGTGGGGGTTGTGGACTGGGTGGTTATCTTGAAAATCATGGTTCAAATTCAAATACAATATCACAATTTTAATTTCTTTTAAATTAACATACAATAATTTCAAATTTCCTAACACTTTGTAGGTTTTAGTATTGAGAAAGCTATTTTTTTAAGTAATGATTAGTTTCCACAGTAATTTTTTCCAAATGGTTTGAATTCCATGTGAGTATGTGTTGACCTGGGTCTGAGAGTGCCACAAGTGATATATTTCATGCAATAGTGACAGTTTTATCATCTAAACATGTGCAACTTTATTTACATTTGAGATTTAATGAATTGAGCATCAAAATTTGTCTCCTATATTTCTGTTTCCTGTTAAAAATATAACATATAAATTAAAGCCCTGATTTGCTGCATGCAAGTTTCTAGCTTCTAAATTTAATTGCAAAATATCTATTTTCTTGCAGGAGTTATGACAGTGATAGTCAGATGGATGAAGAGGAAATGCGTAAAAATGCGGCTGCTCTTGAATCTGCTGTTCAGGAAGAGCAGCGTCTAAAACGGCAAATAGAAGAAACTGAAAAGACCGAGATAAAGGTAAAGTGTAGTGTGTGTTGTGTCCTGATCCTTACTGTATTTCCCACTTTACACTCCCTTATTTCAATACTTGCCTATCAGTGACCAAGGGGGAGTGAGACCCAACTCTTTATGCCCTGCCTCTTAGCCACCTGATGCACAAATTACCTCTCAATAAAATTTTCTTATTTTTTTCTGAAAGTTGTGGATGGCATTGACTTCAACAGCATTCCACTTGCCAATCATTTGTACAGGGAATGAGAATGTCCTTGCATCTCCACAACTCCATTGCATGTCCAGCTTCCACAGATGTCCTCTTGTCATACCTCTATAATGTAAATAGGCTTCCTCTGTTCACCTTGTCTTTTCTCTCCAAGATCTTGCATGTAGTTACCATATTCCCTGTATCTTCCTTCTATGGTTGTGATGGTGTGTTGTCTAAACCACTACCCTGTAGAGCTGAGGCATCTCAATTCTGGTACTAATCTAATTACAAACCTCTGAACTTTCTCAAGTTTCTGTTTATATAGCTGTACCGGCTTGGTGCTTTCTTTTGATAATTACTTTAAACCTGTTCTTGCTGGCCAACTTTTACCCCTTACCTTATGTTATTCTTACACCTTTTACATCTTTATGGGGACACCAGTGATTGTTTACCATTATCATTTATGCCTTCTGCATGGTGCATGTGTTTTATGCAGTTCTAACTCTGCCATTTAAATTGGCAATGACAATACCTTTGTAGTGTAAGTTCTGTGTCATACCAACCTCATTCTCTAAACTAATTCAAACAATATGTTTTTTAATCTCATTCAGTATTTTATATACTACACAAAAATTCTCATTAAAATTATTCTCCTAAATCCTTGGTGGACAGCATTATTACAGATTCAAATACAGTACCCCATTCTGAGGCCCTGATTATCAGATATGTGGAGCATTGAAGCTGGACATCTGGCAATGTTTAAACTGTATGAGAAATTAATATTTTGCATACAGTACTGTCAATTTATTATTTAGTTTGGAATTAAGAAAATAAATGTATAGATAATATTTTTAATTTAATTGTAAACACAATAAAGCATGTGTCTGATGCACACTTGTCATTATTAAATTATTGGCACAAAAATATAGTATTAATTCTGTACATATTAAGCCTTACAATAAATATATATATATTATGTATAAAAATTATAACACACTATCCAGCAACACCTTTTGTTCTTTATATTATAGCTGAGGTTGCACGTATTATGTGCTCCGTGTTCTGTAGAACACGGATGGAATTGCACTGCACTCTTTATATGCACTGGAAAATTAGTCATTTAATATTGATGAGCACTTGGTAGGAGCAGGTATAACTTCTTGCGTTACTTTCTTCTGGCTGCTGTAACAAAGCGATAGATTCCTACAACTGTGAGAAGCGCGCATATAATAGCTGCTGTTATGATGATTCCTATTACTGAGTTTGACAACTTTTTCTTAGGTGTAAATTCATCTGTATAATCTTGGTGCCCAGGATCATAAGAGATGTGATATTCTTGCTTTGCTATTGCTTGGCTCCCAATAATTTGATATCGTGTTCGGTACACTTTATTGGGTTTACCAATGCTATAGACTGAACAGATAATGTGTTTTGTATGCTTAGAACGCATTATTGATACGACTGGCTTCATGTGCGGGATGAGGTGATTTGATTGAGAGACTTCTTGATCCTCATGCCATACATGAACAAGGGGATTGCTGGATGATGGCATCTCATCTGGTGAAGGGCAGTGTAATGTAATTTTTTGTTCTGTATTCTGAATTTCTAGTTCTTCAGGTGCTTCATCAATGCTCACATCAACTACTCCAAATGATATCACCTCGGTTTTTATTTGTCTTCCACGATTTAATGTGCATGTTATTGTTCCATCTGTTTCAATAGGGGCTGTAATCACATATGTCATCATACACTCAAGGTAACCAACATGGTATTTTGTTTTTCTATTGCTGTGGGTTTTTGGAACACTGTGATATTCATGGCCAGAAACACTAACGGTAAGATTTGCTGCAACACCTGATCTTTGAAAGCATGCACCGCACACGACGGCAAATGGAACACCCCGAGGAAGCTGCAAGTTTCGAAGGGCTTCTTCTTCCTTTGTGATAGGATGTCTTGTGCGCCATGATGGGCTGTAGTAGTTATTAATGAATGTCAGGTATGGGGACTTGAGACGAAGTGGTGCCCAGTGCAGCAGTCCTGTTGAATCATCAGTACTCATTGTTTTTGTTCTGTTAGCAAGGACACACACTATGATGAATATGGTCACAGATATGCAAAAACCCCTCATTGTTAATGTATTTATGCAATACATGTGTGGTTTGCTTGTGTGAACTCTGCAAGGGGTTTGTCCTGCAATTTATCTTTGTGGTATTCCACCAAGTACAGAAGCCCGTTGCTTAATAGCAATGTATATAGGTACAAGAATAGCTCCGTCTTTGCAAGTCCCTTGTACAAAAATGATAAGCTTACAATTGGTACTGGTATTTTATCCGTTAAGAATGACGTACTTTTCCTGTCCGTGTGGAATTTCAGAAAGGTGTTGCGTCACTTAAGTACGGGTAACACTCGTATCACCATTTCCTTACTTGCTTATCACATGACGCAGTTAGATGGGGGTGTTCAATTTGTTTTTTCACTCGCACTTGTTTTTCCTGAAATTTAAGAAAACATTTTTTTATAATTTCATGATACAATATTTATTAATTTATATTTTTATTAATTATAAACAACACATACAGTACATACATCATGTTTACTGTACAATATATCCATACATAAATATATATGAATGCATGCATACTTAAATCATAAATGTGCATAAATAAACTAATAGGAAAGACAAATGTAAAATCCAATTACTATTGTGCATGTAGCGCATTGTTAAGGGGTACGTGTGGGAAATGGTTTCCCATTGTCGGGGATGGAAGCCCGTTTGGTTAGCGAGGTCCACTTGGGTCAACAACTGACCTTTCTCAAAATGCAACCCACAACTATTTCCTAATTCCCAGGTACTGTACCCCATTTACTGCTAGGTGAACAGGGGCATCTATTTAAAGGAAAGGTGCACAAAAGGTCTTGTCCTGCATGGGGAATCGAACCCTGGATTTTTTTTGTTTGTCAGCCGATTCCAGTGAATACTGTGCTACATGACCCCAGTTGGATACAAATGGTGTGTCTGGAACCCTCTCTTATTGTGGGTATTTGTAGTAAGGTTGGTAGAGCTCTTTTCTTCCACTCCAGTGATCACGAGTTCGAGGCTTCGATGATAGAAAAGTGAAAAGTTTTTCGATGAATAACAATGTGTTGAGAAAGGGAGGATGGAAGTTAGACATACAGATGAGCCATAATGGTGTTACTGTTAGAAAATCCTTGACATTCCATTCCCTTCTCTTATACCATATTCCTACTTTTTCCTACATTATCCTTCAACTTTTTGTGCACACACTGTCAAGACCATTTACAATATTTTATACTGCCCTCTTATTCTAAATAAAGAAGTAAAGAACATTGCATCATCTACAGTTGTATGGTGCCCAAATCTCAAGAAGCACATAAACTGGAAAAGGTGCAATGGTATACTACAAAGTGTTTTTCAGTTCCGGAAGCCAAGAGTTATAAGGAGAGACTAGAGGCATTAAACAGGCCAAGACTAGAAAAAAAAAAAATATGATCACCACGTACAAAATACTAACAGGAATCTACCAAATTGACGAGGAGGAATTCCTGAAATCGGCAACTTAACGAACAAGAGGACACAAATTCTAGCTAAAGAAACAAAGGTGCCAAAAATTAATAGAAAGTTTTCTTTTGCAAACAGAGTGGTAGACGGTTAGAACAAACTAAGAAAGGTGGTGGAGGCCAAAACTGTCACTAGTTTCAAAGCGTTATACAACAAAGAGTACTGGGAAGATGGAACACCACGAGCATAGTTCTCGTCCTGTAACTACACTTAGGTAATTATAAGGATGGCAAAATATTAGAAATTGTTCACGACCTTTGGAAGACCAAAGTTGAATATGCAGCAGTTGAATGGTGCCCATCTCTCAAAGCTTCTAGAACTGGAAAAACAAGCTAAAAGGAGAGGCTAGAGGTGTTAAATATGCCAAAGCTAGAAGGAAACGAGATGGCAGATACTAAATAGCAAGTGGAAACAGAGTCCCCTAATGAGCCACAGAGACATTAGAAATAGCTATTTTAGTGTCAGAATAGTTAACAGATGGAATACATTAGGAGGTGATGTGGTAGAGGCAGACTCCATACACAGTTTCAAATGTACATATGATAAGTGCCCAATAGGTTAAGGAATCTGTACACTGTTTAATTGACAGTTGAGAGGCAGGATCAGAGAGCTGAAGCTCAACCCCCCCCCCCCACAAGCACAACTAGGTGAAAAACAAACACACACACACACACACACACACACACACACACACACACACACACACACACACACACACACACACACACGTAGATATGATAGAGCCCAATAGGCTCAGGAATCTGTACACCAGTTGATTGACGGTTGAGAGGCGGGACCAAAGAGCCAGAGCTCAACCCCCGCAAGCACAATTGGGTGAGTACACGCGCGCACACGCGCGCGCACACGCGCGCGCACACTCACTATTATGTAGCCAAACATTGCAATAGGGCCGCCTGAAATTAATAGACAATGCGTAATGTTAATAATACTGTATAAGAAATGCTTAACTGTATTAAGATGTGTGTGTGGGGAGGTGGGAGGCGGCGCCACACTGTACTCAAGCATCCTGTGCACTGTGGCGCCATGCTCTTGTTACCCCCCCCCCAGGACTCCCTGCTGCCACCCACTATGTGACCTCACTCATATTACCTCCCTTATGCCAGGCGTGTCACCCATTCATTGGAAATACAGGGTGTACTGGTACTGTATTTACCCGCACTTGAGATATGCTGTAATTGAAAATTTAACCATTTTCACCGGAGTATTCTTCTTTTAATATGCAAATGAACAGGAAATAGCATCAATGTGACACTGCTATACCCGCCATACACACCTCTATGGCCTAGTATGCTAGGGCTCATAATTACTCGGTGCTTCTTAAGGCTTTTATGCACAGAGGAAAGGTCACTTTGATGACAAATTTGCATAGATATCTAGGAAATAATATTTATACTGTACTGTTGCATAACTTTCTCATTGGGTAAACACAGAACAACAAAACTGTACTCACCTAGTTGTGTTTGCGGGGGTTGAGCTCTGGCTCTTTGGTCCCGCCTCTCGACCGTCAATCAACAGGTGTACAGATTCAAAAGCATATCTACACTTGAAACTGTGTATGGAGTCAGCCTCCACCACATCACTTCCTAATGCATTCCATTTGTCAACCACTCTGACACTAAAAAAGTTCTTTCTAATATCTCTTTGGCTCATTTGGGTACTCAGTTTCCACCTGTGTCCCCTTGTGTGTGTGCCCCTTGTGTTAAATAGCCTGTCTTTATCTACCCTATCAATTCCCTTGAAAATCTTGAATGTGGTGATCATGTCCCCCCTACCGGGGGGTACACAGTACCCCCCGGTAGTGTGTACGATAAAGCCTGCACAGAACCGTGTACGGTAAATAAAGCCTGCACAGAGCCGTGTGCGGTAAATAAAGCCTGCACAGAGCCGTGTGCGGTAAATAAAGCCTGCACAGAGCCGTGTGCGGTAAATAAAGCCTGCACAGAGCCGTGTGCGGTAAATAAAGCCTGCACAGAGCCGTGTGCGGTAAATAAAGCCTGCACAGAGCTGTGTGCGGTAAATAAAGCCTGCACAGAGCCGTGTGCGGTAAATAAAGCCTGCACAGAGCCGTGTGCGGTAAATAAAGCCTGCACAGAGCCGTGTGCGGTAAATAAAGCCTGCACAGAGCCGTGTGCGGTAAATAAAGCCTGCACAGAGCCGTGTGCGGTAAATAAAGCCTGCACAGAGCCGTGTGCGGTAAATAAAGCCTGCACAGAGCCGTGTGCGGTAAATAAAGCCTGCACAGAGCCGTGTGCGGTAAATAAAGCCTGCACAGAGCCGTGTGCGGTAAATAAAGCCTGCACAGAACCGTGTGCGGTAAATAAAGCCTGCACAGAGCCGTGTGCGGTAAATAAAGCCTGCACAGAGCCGTGTGCGGTAAATAAAGCCTGCACAGAGCCGTGTGCGGTAAATAAAGCCTGCACAGAACTGTGTAATAATGCCTGCACATGAGTAGCTAACATTATAATTCCAGGCACTCCTCTGTTAGGGGGGGGGAGACTCTGCCGTACTCGCAGTGTGACAAGCCTATACCCTACCAAAGCCGGTAAATGAACTATTGGGTTCAGTGCCTGAACCAATTATGTGCCTCTGTAATCCTTTCCACCACCGCCCACGGGATGGGTATGAGGTGCATAATAATCAATCAATCAATTAGCGTCTCCGCTCCCACCCCACACACTGGTCTCAAATTTGCACTGTAGAATAACATATTGGAGCTCAAGACGTGGAAGGAAATGTAGAATATAATCAGCGAGGAGCAGACCCATAGACAGCCCCGCTCCTGTGCCAGGTAAGTCCACTATGGGCTCACCATAGCCCGTGCTACTTGGAACTTTTTGTTCCTAGAAGCTGAATCTTAAACAACACAAGAGATGCCATAGGCATTGGACATAACAAAGGGGGATATTAATGGAATATTTAAGGTATCAACACAAGACAGAACGCGGAACAATGGGTATAAATTGGATAAGTTTAGATTTAGGAAAGATTTGGGTAAATACTGGTTCGGTAACAGGGTTGTTGATTTGTGGAACCAATTACCACGAAACGTAGTGGAGGTGGAGTCTCTAGATTGTTTCAAGCGTGGGTTGAATATGTATGTGAGTGGGATTGGGTGGTTATAAATAGGAGCTGCCTCGTATGGGCCAATAGGCCTTCTGCAGTTCCCTTTGTTCTTATGTTCTTAGGCATAATCAGGGAGCACTGTCTGAACGTCGGAGGTCCACGGCTGTTCAATATCCTTCCAGAAATATTGCCAGAACATAGGTGGAAATGTTCAACAAACATTTAGACAAGTTATCGCAACAAGTGCCAAACCAACCGGGTTGTAGTGGATAAGTTAGCTTGCGGGCCACTGCAAGCAACAGTCTGTTGGACCAAGTTGGCCCTTGTCTTAGGCCGCAAGCAGAAGGATGCCCGGAAACCTCTCCATGTTGTTATAGATTCAGCTACACGGAACAAGTTGCAAGTAGCACTGGCTATGGTGAGCCCGTAGTGGACTTACCTGGCACAGGATCGGTGCTGAATGTGCTGTGTCTCGAAACCTCTCCAGGTATGCTCCATATATATAAATATCCATTCTCACTAGTCCAGGAAAAGAAACGTATGTTTACCGTGCAGATTTTTACCTTCAGTGTAACAGGGAATCTTAAAAACCGTTATGGATATAACCGGGACATAACCGGGGGGATATTAATAGGGTATTAAAAGTATCAACACAGGACAGAACACGAAACAATGGGTATAAATTGGATAAGTTTAGATTTAGGAAAGACTTGGGTAAATACTGGTTCAGTAACAGGGTTGTTGATTTGTGGAACCAATTGCCGCGTAACATTGTGGAGGTGGGGTCCCTCGAGTGTTTCAAGCACGGGTTGGACAAGTATATGAGTGGGATTGGGTGGTTATAGAATAGGAGCTGCCTCGTATGGGCCAACAGGCCTTCTGCAGTTGCCTTTGTTCTTATGTTCTTATGTTATCGGAAATGTGTAGTATCATTTTATGAGTGACTTTCTAACACTATTTCTTATAGACTTCACTTGTAATGTAGGTTTATACAATATTTAGGTTTGCAGTCTTAATAAATATGTGTTGTTACTACGAATGTTGTGTAACAAATGGCATCCTTCATTATGAATGCTGAATAATAAATGCACGAAATTTATGGTATTAGATTGTGTGAATAGTGTGTGTGTATATACACGGTACTATAGGCCGTGCGAGTATATATAAACACAGTACTATAGGCCATGCGAGGATATGTAAACACAGTACTATAGGCCATGCGAGGATATGTAAACACAGTACTATAGGCCATGCGAGGATATGTAAACACAGTACTATAGGCCATGCGAGGATATGTAAACACAGTACTATAGGCCATGCGAGGATATATAAACACAGTACTATAGGCCATGCGAGGATATGTAAACACAGTACTATAGGCCATGCGAGTATATATAAACACAGTACTATAGGCCATGCGAGGATATGTAAACACAGTACTATAGGCCATGCGAGGATATGTAAACACAGTACTATAGGCCATGCGAGGATATGTAAACACAGTACTGTAGGCCATGCGAGGATATATATATACACAGTACATATATATGTCAGGCAGAGTGCCAGAGTTTTGGAAAGTTGCTAATGTGATACCAGTTTTTAAGAAAGGAGATAGATCACTTGCGTCTAACTATCGACCAATTAGCCTAACGTCTATTGTGGGAAAGTTACTCGAATCTATAATAGCAAATAAAATTCGTCTTCATCTTGAAAAACATAAATTAATAATTGAGTCGCAACATGGTTTTATAAATGGCCGTTCATGTTTAACAAATTTGTTATCTTTTTATTCTAGCATTGTTGAGGCAGTTGATAGTGGTAAGGATTGCGATGTTGTATACCTTGACTTTAGCAAAGCTTTTGATACAGTGCCACATGAAAGACTGGTTAAAAAAATAGTCTCATGGTATTGGGGGTGCTATATTAAGCTGGATTAGGGCATGGCTATACCAAAGGAAACAGAGAGTTAGTATAAATGGAATCAAGTCAGAGTGGGAAAATGTTGTAAGTGGAGTGCCTCAAGGCTCTGTCCTGGGACCTCTGTTGTTTATAATATATATAAATGATTTAGATTCAGGTTTGAGTAGCAACATTTGCAAATTTGCCGATGATACGAAAATCGGTAGGGAAATTAATTCGGAGGAGGACTCACTATCACTTCAAGTTGATCTAGATAGGGTTTTGAAATGGTCAAAGGATTGGCAGATGCAGTTTAATGCTGATAAATGTAAAGTTCTGAGGTTAGGTAATGATGATAGAGTTACAAGATACGAGCTAGATGGTGTTGTGATTGCGAAGTCGGATTGCGAAAGGGATCTGGGAGTTATGATTAGTAAGAATTTAAAACAAAAGGATCAATGCATAAATGTTCGTAATAAGGCAAATCGGACACTTGGATTTATTAATCGCAGCGTTAGTAACAAGACACCTGGTGTGGTTCTCAAGCTATATCTTGCTCTAGTTAGGCCCCATTTAGATTATGCAGTTCAGTTTTGGTCGCCATATTATAGAATGGATATAAATTCACTTGAACGTGTCCAGCGTAGGATGACTAAGTTAATTCCCCAAATTAGAAATCTTTCATATGAAGAAAGATTAACAAAGCTTAAGTTGCATTCACTGGAAAGGCGAAGAGTTAGGGGTGACATGATAGAGGTTTACAAGTGGATGAATGGACATAACCGGGGGGATATTAATAGGGTATTAAAAGTATCAACACAGGACAGAACACGAAACAATGGATATAAATTGGATAAGTTTAGATTTAGGAAAGACTTGGGTAAATACTGGTTCAGTAACAGGGTTGTTGATTTGTGGAACCAATTGCCGCGTAACATTGTGGAGGTGGGGTCCCTCGATTGTTTCAAGCACGGGTTGGACAAGTATATGAGTGGGATTGGGTGGTTATAGAATAGGAGCTGCCTCGTATGGGCCAATAGGCCTTCTGCAGTTACCTTTGTTCTTATGTTCTTATGTTCTTAAGTACTATAGGCCGTGGAGGATATATAAACACAGTACTGTAG